TGTCAATGAGTTCATATCATTGAGACATTCAACTCAACTTTATATTTGTTGAAATTAGAGTTTGGATGGCCTTAAATTTAATTTTAAAAATTTTCATTTCAAATATGCATCAAAATTTGTGCCCAATCAAATTAATTTTTTAATAATGTATCAGTATTATTTAATATTAATTCATAAATGATCCCAATGTTAAATAATAAATAGAAAAATAATTATAAAATTTGTGTACTCTAAAAAACCATACAATAAAAGAAAATTACATTAATAGCACTCAAATTTTAACTATTTATAAAAATAACACCCTTCTACCTTTATTTTTTAAACTATCACCCAAATATTATAAATCAAAACAAATCTGAACCTATATTTTTTATTTCATCAAGTTTCCAATAATTTTATTGTGTCACGCATAAAACACACTAAGATGAATTCGATATTTAAAAAAATTGATATAATTGTTTGTTATATAAATAAATCTGAATGTATATAATTTCTCCTACATTTAACCTAAAGTCAAAGTTGATCAATAAAAACATCTTTGCACCCAAAAAATAAAAAAATCATTCTTTTTATTTCAGTTGATCCATCTAAAAAGATGAACTTAACCATATTTGTAAAAAAATTTTAAAGAAATATAGCAATACATAAAATATTAATTTAGTATAAAAAACCTAAAATGTTGCACCCACCTAAAAATCCTCTTATATGTAAGAAATTAGATTTCTTTTGTCCCAAATTCCTAATACACTTTGATATTGGAAGTATAAGGAGAATAAATGTCTACACATGGAATAGCTGATAGCATTTTATGTGAAAGGGAATCTTTTCTAGCATTTATTGTCCTTAAAGCCTGAGTCACCACCAACATGTGGGATCTAATTTAGATAGCTATTCTTATCCTACTCCCACAAATCTAAAGCCCATTGGTTGTTTCAACCTAAAGGTCAATTTGATTGCTCAAACCTAAGAAACAAGTAGGTCTCACAAATTTTGTTTGAAACTCAAAACACTTTGAATAACTCAATTTAAAGATTAGATTATTTTTTCTTAAAAGAAATTAGGATAACTAATTTTGCTAATGTGGTCATTAAAGACTTAAAGTCATCCAATTCCTTCATCGGTTATCACCCTTAATTACAGACTTAATATTTTGGGTGTTCTACGAGGATGATTTTTACTTAATGGATTTTTTTTTAAGAGGGACAGATTGGATTTGACAACTTCAGTCAATCTTGATTGAATGGACCCATCATAGTGTCTAACAGTAGTACTATTTGCTCTTGAATTTTATTTTCAATTATAGAAGTTTTTATATACTTTAAAATGTCTCCTTGCTGATTTGATTTAACATTTACATATGCAAGTTTGGCCAATCTTTCATATTTATCCATAGTTTCTAATAGAGTAAGCTTATTGGGTACAAATAACGTAGGCATGAAAATAGCAAAAAAAAAAAAAAAAAAGCTAAATATTGAGCATAGTAGTGAATGCTTCTTGTTATGATATGATATGCATACATGTGAAGATCATAAAATTGTTAAACATGCTAGTGTTTAGTCTAGAAAAAAATTTAGCTCAATAAGTATAACTACTTAAACATAAGTATTCATAAATACAAGTAAAAGATACAAATTTGACAAATTATACAAGTTTGTGGATCATGTAAATCAAAATATTTTGAGATAAAAGTAATAAAAATAATTAGTAAAACTCATTAAATAACATAAATTGGGATCGCTCAAATAGTATGCATAAAGATAAGTTATAGGGAGATCTATAAGACATAAAGATTCTCTTTTGAACATAACACATTATTTACATGGAATTGCTAATAGATATGTGCAAGCTATTATCTTAACATGAATAAACATGTCATAATAAGAAATATTGATAATGAAAAGAAAAAAAAAACATAAAAAAAAAAACAAACTGAAAATGAAGAAGGATCCTTATGCAGATTTTTTTTTTTTTTTTCTGAAATTATCTCCTTTGTCTTTAAGGGATTTCTATGATATCAATAACATTGAGTGTCGTGATCTGACCCAATATAACCTACATATACTCTAATGGGTCATATCAGGTTAGACACATGATAGATCATTTACACGGAATCTTTTATTGGAGGGAATTTTTTTTCATTTAATTCATATATAAAGCCATTAAAATTCATCAATATACAAAAACATAAATACAATAGTACATCTACTGCAACATTTCTCTCTATCTACTTAGTATGTGTTTTACCCTTCCTTGAATTATATAAACATACAGAGTGAGCATACAACTTAATAAATCACAAAAAACCTATAATTGTATTCAGTGTATGAAAGGCGTACCAATATGCATGCTCTTATCAGTTGAATCATAAAAACTAATCCTATGATGAATTAATATCATTCTATGCTTATATTTATGCTTGTATCATATGTTTTCAAGTATGATCAAGATCGTCATATAGATGTCATGTGTTCATGTGTGTTCTAATAATCACCTCATATCATCATGTATGATAGTAGGTCATCATATACGTCATGTGCATATTATCATCTCATATCATCATGTGTATTAGGTATTATATATTATACATTATTAATGAGTTCATGTATATCAATGCTATTCATTATATCGTATTAGTTATTATATATTATACATTATTAATGAGTTCATGTATATCAGACAACAGTCTGACCATGATAGGTCGTCTGAGTGTGGACAAGGTCACGCGAGCGACAAAGCGAGAGCGAGGCTGTCCGCACAGGGTGCGAAGCACACAGTGCGGAATGGGAGTGAGGATGTGCACGAGGGACAGTTGTGTGGATATGGGTCATTTCGCGTTTCCAGTTCAACCTGAACCAAACCCAATATAAACGTGTCGGAATCTCAAATCTGAATCCAACCCGTATGGCAAACATGTTGACCCGAACACGAAATTTTTCGGGTCAAATTTGGGTTGGATTTCGGGTTGAGTTAAATTTTGACACGCTTAAACCTTTACACATTAGCATATTTTCTAGCAATATAATTTTATTCGACACTTTCAAGTTTATATAGTAATTTGATTCAAATTACTTTTTGAGTTTTTTAAGTTTTACTTTTGTAGTTGTTATTTTTTCTTTCAGTTATTGTCATTTTGATTTCGGTTTATAATAAATTTTTTTATGAAAAAAAAATATAAGTTAACTTCCCATTATTTACTATAAAATATTCTATTTATATTACTTGTATGTAAAATTTTCTTTTGAGTACAAAAAAAAAAAAATCATATTTATTCATCACATTCAGCATTGCCAAAAGTATGCCAACTTTCGAAGTGTCGTTCGACACCTTAATATTATTTTGTTTCGCTATAAAGCGTTCATGAATCGAAGAGTTTAAGCATGCGTATTGCAACTCCCAAGATCAATAAATAGGCTGGTAGTCTTTTGGGCGAATAACCCGCCATCTCCACACGATACTAGTCCTCCAATCATAGGGGTAAAACCAACCTCCTTTTTAGAGTGGGCAAAATATAATTATAGAATGCATAATCTTATATATGAAATAGAAAAGTTATGATTTTCTTAGAATTTATGCAAATACATTCATTGAAGGTTGACAAAATAATTAAAATATCTAATTTTCTAAACACAAAATCAGGATTGAAATTGCATACCCTGAAATAGGGGTGTCAATTCGGGTCAACAGGTCAGGTTCGGATCGAACCCGAAACTGACCCGGTACTATTCGGGTCAACTGAACCCGACCCGATTCGGGTTCGGGTCAACCTGTCCCGACACAAATGACCCGAAGTTGACCTAAAATTGCTAGTTTTCGGGTTAAAATCGGGTCAATCTTCAATTTTCGGGTCAAAACGGGTCAATCTCGAGTTTTTTAGTCAAATTGGGGTTTTCATGTCAATTTCAAGTCATTTTCGAGTTGCTGGGTCAACCCGAACCTGACCTGATTTTTAAAATGTGTTGATTTGTTGAACCCGAACCCGACCCGTTTTGGGTCCGGGTTGACCCTAACCCAGATTTTTTTAAATCGGGTTCGGGTCGTGTCAAAAATTGACACCCCTACCCTGAAATCTTCATGGTTCCACCCCTACCTACAAATCAGGCCTCGAAATTTGGCTTGAAAATTCAAATTCAATTAAAACTCAGTATAATTCTTTATATTGATTAAACTGAAAAAGAAGTCAATGAGAAAACTAATCACAAAAAATGAACTTGAATTGTGCTAAATCTAGATAAGATCTCATAGACCCAGACCAACACTATATATAACCAATTAATCCTTCTGTGATGATTTTAGATCTTTATTATCTCGAAATAAATAAATTGCTAGAATTTAAATGTGCCGCATAACAGCTACTTTATGTTGCCATATTCTTTCAAGTTTTTTTCTTGAAGCAAGTTCCCATTTATTTCCAAGGTACTGCCACAAGTAAATTAAAATAAATAAATAAACAAATATGAAATATATGATTGTTTCCACTTACATTTTCCAATTCAAAAAAATCCCAAAATAATCATCAGACTATTCATATATGACTAATTTAATCTTCACGTATCATGTTCCTCCAATTTAGCACCTCGACTATACAAAATTATTCAAAATTGATTCAAAATTGTCCCTCATGTTATAATTTTAATATGAAATTGATCTCAATTTAGCCCCTCGACTTTATGAAATTGATCTCCATTTAGGCTTTGTTTGGGACGGCTTTCTTAATGCTTCTTAAAGCAGCTTTTTAGTTTAAAATTTTTTAATTTTAGAACTAGAAAACTGCTTTAAGTAATAAGAAAGCCGTCCCAGACGAAGCCTTAGTCCCAAATGGATTATTTTGGATCAATTTTATATAGTTGAGGGATTAAATCGGAACAACGTTATACTCCAAGACTAAAATGATCATATACGAATATTCAATAGATTATTTTGAAATTTAAACATTTTCCATTCTATCCATCACAAAACATAAACAAAATAAACGTTGTTGGTGGAAAACTCCAACCTCACAGTGTAACAATACAGAATTTGATTTTCCTCTGACCTTCTGTGTAAGCTTTTATACACTACAAATAAAATGTTGAAAGAATAGAAATTAAATAGTACACAGGGGAACAAAATCAATTCATGTTTCAAAAACAAACTTCATTCAAAAGCTTTGAGCAACATAAGTTCCGATAATGTAGAGGCATTTCTCAACTATACAAAAATTTTCCTAAAAGAATAATTCATCAATTAGTCCAACATATTATCAAATTGAGAAATGCGAGAAAGACCTTACTGAATAGGCTGTGTATAAATCTGTTGTCTCCTAATTCGTTTTGGTTCTCTGGAAATAAAGCTACGAAATGCTTCACTTACTAATGGTTTTCTACCTTGCTTGATCCCAACCGGGAATGTTAGCAGTAGCCTCATTCACCATTTTCACAAGCCTAACCTGCATGTTAAAAGCAGAATAATGACCATGAAAACCCTAAAATAATCTCTAACTGCAGAAAACAATAGCTATGGATGAAAGCAAAATGGTTAACTGGAGAAGCAAGGAAAAAATACAATGGTTAAATGGTTTCCCAGCCTGATTTCATGCAGGCTTGCTATTTGAAACTACAAAAATGTTCTGTAAGTTCAGCAGTATAAATGTCTGTTGGACTAGTAAGTAACTTGATGTAAGGGGATTGTGATCCCTTCATCTATTTATTTGCAGGAAGAGTTCTGCTCTTTCACTCAGAAAAGAAGAAATCTTACTATGAAAAAGTAAATAGTCTGAAATGCATTATCGGAAAGAGTAATCTTCTAGTAGGTATGCCTACCATGACAACGTATGAGATTATTGTGTGCGGACACCGGACGGAAAGAACTCTTTGGATTTTCTCTCTTTCTACAGTAAAAGCACAGTTACTGCGCTTTTACTTAGATAGAGAAAACCAAACGTTTCTCTCCATCCGGTGTCCGCGCGCAATAAAAAGTTCATGACAGAAATCTATTTTTTTGTGTGAATGCAATAAAATATTCAGCCGCTTATTACACATGCAGTACTTTTATTTATTATTTCTCGGTACTCAAAAAACATATATTGGCTTCTTGCCCACAATCTAATATACCCCGAAAAGAATGTTATTGCAATAATAGAATTACAACTTTATACCCCGAAAATAGCATATAAAAACACCAAAACAAAAAGAACTTGATCTCAAAAAACTACCCATCCAGGTTCAGAAAATCTAGATCTGCAAATAACCTGACATCAAGATCAAACCTAAAAATGGAAGAGGGAAGGTGAATTTCTTAGCATCTACCTGACGAAGAAAGACCTTGTGTAGTAAATCGGACTGCAATATCCCACTTGTATTAGATTCTACCATAAAATATAGGGATTTATGCTACCTACTGCGACGGTAGTAGTTGGCATAATAGGAACCATTCCATTGTGAAACTCAAGCTACAGACTATTGATTAGATTCATTGAAGGTGGAAATGATCAAGCATTTAACAGATCAACTACAAGAAACCAATAAGTGTTTCTTGGTAATAAGTAATTGTTCAAAGCATAGTTTCACATGTGTGAATGTGCACACAAATGCATGTGTGCATGGAATTTAGCATTTTATGATGGTGATCATTCTCTTTAAAAAAGTGACAAATTTTCATCATGAACTTGGGCCATTATCCCCTAATCATTTAATCAGAGAACATCATATGATTTAGCATTAGAACGTGCAAGAATAAGGATATTTCTTTCAATTCTCAAAACTTCACAACTCCTAAGAATAATTTTAATAAATAATTTCATTGTACTAGGCTATAGTGCAGATTGTTAAAAATATACGTGATGTAGTAAGAAAAAGGAAAGGGAAAGGCCTCATCAATACCAGATCAAGTCCGAGGTCGATAATTTACATCTAGAGTGCAGAAAAAAATTTAAGCCGGCCCAAAAAGCAGGGACAAAGCTAAAAATAATGATGATGATAGCATAAAAGATTCCACAAAAGAATACAAATATTTAATTAGGAGTAACGGGTATACCACACTTTCAGGAACGCCTGGTGGGGGTAAGGAAAGGTTCCTTGGTGGTGGTCCTTGAAGGTGTGATCTCTTGTCAAAGCGCCACTCCCCAATCTTTCCATAAGTCAGTTCACCCTTTAAAATTTGAAAAAATCAATAAACATTTACGGTTAAAGAAAATGAATAAATGTAGCACCTGAAGAAAATTTGTCAGGAGAAGATTAGTTCGAAGCAGAAAATTTTCACCTTTAAAGAGTAGTCACATCCATAAGTGTAATGGATAATGAATGAGTTTCCAACCTTCAAGTCCCAAGGAGGCTGATAAAAAATTCAATATATTAAGTAGATATTCCAGACCCAGCTAAGTGTATATTAACATCCAAAGATACAAAATCAAGTTCCAAATAATTGAACAATAATTGAAAGTGCTACCTGTATCATAAAATCCTTATGGAGAATATGCTGCACACCATGCAATGCACTCGCAACAGCATAAGCATACCTATGTTCAAAATGTAACAAAAAACCTATCATAAATCAACATGATCCCAACAAATAGGGAAAAAACCATTAATGTAGAGAACATGATAAATTAATCTCACATTTCAAGCACCCATCCAAAAGATTTATCAGTCTCAGGATCTTCTTTCATTTTTAAGGAGACATTCATCCACGTAGGAGCAATTTTTTCAAGTTGAGACTGAAAAGGTCCAAGAAAATGAAAAATATTGCAAAAAACAAGAGCAATTAAAGCTAAGTAGGTCAGGGAAAAAAGCAGTTTCCCTAGCTGTACAAGAAAGTATTTCAGAACGGTGAGATCAGTGTAAGTATTTTGTAAAAGGAGCTTGAAGTGTAAAAGTTAGAACTTGAATTAAACAATTCAACTGAAAAGCATTAAGTAACAAGACTATATGCTGCAAAAATTGATAAAAGCTCAGAAAGCTGCACGCCTGAACTGCACATGAATCAGCTAAATGTCTACCTTCTTTATGATAACAGGAGAATTGCCAATAGGATCAACATTTGTCACAGGACCTTTCTCTTCAGGATAGAACTTCCTAATTATTTTCTCATTTTCAGAGGGTTTAATATAGAAGAAGGGGAATGCTGCTGGGTAATCTCCCCGAGACAAATTGGGTAAGGGATTCACAAATATATGGTCTGGTTCTCCCATTAATATGTAACTGCAAAGGTCGATTAAACATTAAAAATTTGTAAGGCATGCCATGAAATCAGAAAGACGAGATTGGCTAAGCAAGTTAAAAAATTCTCACTCTTCCTCAATCTTTGCCTTTTCCAGCCACTGAACAAATGCCCATGGTCGATTCAGTACAATGTAACCCTGAAAGCAAGGTTAAGAGGACAGTGTAATATGATAATAACAATGCAACTGAAACAAATCTATCTTACAAGAAAATAGCAATACATTGTGAATTATTTTCTTGAGAAAATAAAGCAATAACCATTTGCAAAATTTAAAAAAAAAAAGTGATGTAAGGACAGATTAGTGTGATGGAGGCAGAGGGACCTATCAATCCATCTTACTTCAAGATTGTACAAAATGAGTAAGTTTCCAATAACTAGTCAAAATAGGCTTAGCCAGGTAATCTTAAGAAGCATTGCATTATAATGCAAATCATTTAACAGATTCAGTAGCATAATGCTAGGCAGAATGTGCCTTAGGATTCTCATAGAAGAGAATGATTGGAGACAATAATGCCATGTGAATACAACGCTCAATGTCAAGATAATCACTCATCTGAATAGTAACTTGATTTGATCCTTATTTTCTATTACATTTACCAATGAAAATAACGACTACAATATTTGAGAACAACTGAAGACCAATTAAGAGAAGCAAAAAGTACCTACTTAATTCTTTTCTTTTCTTATGAAAACCCTACATAATACTTGCCAAGTCTTAAGATATTTCTAACCAAATTTTGATATGCATGAAAATACATTCCTCCAAATAGTACAAGAATATTCAATAACCAAAAAATACTTCACATTATGATAAAAAAGATACATTCAAGTACAATTGAAACCCCCCATAGGGCATAAATAATTCTTATGGAATATGTGTTTGGAGTTTCCAAACAACAGAATGCAAAAGAAAACTTTATCTAAATAGAAGAAAAATCAAAATTGATGCACCACCAAAAAATTCATTTCATCAAAAACATATTTTGAAATAATATTAATATCTCAAAACACCCAAATATCAAAAATATCAAAAATTGATTCTAAGATTATATGAACTCCATTTTCGATAAACTAATAATCAAGATAATCAGATTCAACAACACAAACCAACAATACTAAAAATACTTAGATCCTAGACCAAATGGCCTAAATCAAGCACTCAAAAGCGCAATTGTGGAGTTTAGAAAAGTAAAAAAAATATTAAAAAATACTATTTTGAAATTCATTGCTTGATTTTGTACAAAGTGTGGAAGTATTTATAAACTTTTTCAAAAGACTTATAATGAAAATAAATCAAAACTATTAAAAAAAATCCTCGAGAGGCTAACAACTAGAATAGTAAAAGAATGCACGTAAATTGCAATATAAGAGACATAAGAGGATTAATTTAACAGTTAGAATCTTTAATATGGGTGCTCAAGGATCCCAATGAAGATTTGTTCACTAATGGGTCGCAAAATCCTTCAATACTCCCCATCAGACAACATGGTATAAATCTACCATTTGAAATTTGCTTATAATATTTTTAAATGTGGGATTGCAGAGTCTTTTTGTAAGAATATTTGCAAGTTAATTTTCTATTGGTATATATGGAGTGCAGAGCAATCTACTTTTCAATTTCTCTTTAATGAAATGTTTATTACCTCCACATGCTTGGCAGTTATTTAGCAAAAAATATTGTCTTGCAATTGCGATTTTTAATGGTTTTATAAATTAATTGAAGATTTATTATACGGTGAAGAGCATGCAATACATTACTGAGGTTAAATATAGAGGAAATTGAAATATTTTTTTCACGTGTAATAGTTATTGGAGAATCATAAGCTACTTTTATTTTACTATTCTAGGGCACTTTTTGTAGGTTTGAAAAAGGCTAGCAAGTTTCATCATGTGGTCAATAGCTTTTGAATTTAGAATCCAAGTGTGAGGGGAATTATTTAAGGCACTAGAAATACAAGAATTAGAATTCATTATATTTTGAGCTAGTGAGCATGATCCAAATGATTTTTAAGATACTTGAGGTTTAGGTTTGCCAATTTCTTCTAAATTGAATAACTTTGATTCAACAAGACAAGCCTATCCCGTTTAGTGACTTTATTTCCACCAAAGCCTAAAGGCTTTACGTGAAATTTTTTAATATTTTGCCTTGATATATATTGCAGTAGTTGCATCATATATTACCTTTAGAAGAAAGATTTTTTACTTCTTTAAGGAATAAGTCTGTTGAAGTAAGTTCCTTATCTTGGGATTTGGTGGTTATCATGGAAATATTTCAAAAACTAAAAACATCGAGCATTATCATCCATCTTCCTTCGTTGGCTCGTATGAGAAAAAAATTTATTAAGTGATGATTAGTTTGTTCCACTTAAGATTTAGACAGGAATTTGGTTAAAATCATTATTGAGTCATGCAAAGAACTTAAATAACATTTCTCTTTCTATAATTTTTTTTAGAATTACCAATCATCACAACATGTCACCATGAGATCTTGGGAATAATTTAGTTCAAACAAAAAACCTTCATTGCATTAAAGTACTCAATAACATGAAGGCTAACTTACATAGTTGTTGAAATCTTAATTTTAATCTTATAGCAGAGAAAGATGTCCTTACTTTTTAAGTACATTCTTTTTATGACATTCAAAACTTCTTTTGCAATAGGGAGGGAAAAATATGGACCACTGATTTTAGGCATCTTGTATTCCACAAATATGTGATGATCATGGAATTTTTTTTATCCTAAAATAAAAATTTTGGATTTTTCGGCGAATCTATAAGATGATGAATCCTTTTCTTTCCTTTCAAAAAGATATTCATGATTTAGGACCATTTTAAATAGTTTCTCTCATTCATGCCATATGAGGCTTGACTGGCTTGTAGCCCCTACAATTTTCCTATAGTTTGATTTTCACCATTCATAATGGATAATTCTATGGAAGGGAAGTTAAAGAAACGAACTATAATAAAGAGAATAAAGCTCAACAAGAAGGTAAAAGGAAAAACAAAATAATGGTTGGAAGATGGGAACCCTAATATCAGGAAAAAAACATATTGAATTTTATTGTTTTATTCTATACAAAGTGTGGAAGTATTTATAAACTTCTCCAAAAGGCTTATAATGAAAAAAAAAATCAAAACTATTTACAAAAAAGAAAAAAAATTCCACAAGAAGGACGGAGCTAGAATAGAAAAAGGGGGCACACGAACTATAATCTAGCAGTCATAAGAGAATGAATCTAATAGTTAGAACCTTTAATTTGTGTGCTCAATGATTACTATCAAAATTGGTTGACTTGTGGACCCCACGATCATTTGACTTGTGGACCCCACGATCATTCAATATGGAGGACTTTTTATAGAGAGAATTCTTAGATTTAAGCAATTATAAAGCTTTGACTATCGTTTAGAACCTCAGCTAACCATTTGGGGCTTTGCCTATCTAGGTTTTTATTTATCATAATTTGTTGGCTAGTCTTCCCTCTGGCCAAGAGAACAACCACACCTACCACCTTCTAGCATCATATTTTTGCACTAGCATTTGTCATTGCCATCAACTGACAACGACCGCCATCATTGCTTGTCAGGCTTTACTCATCGACCAACACTTGATGGTCATTATCATTACTTTGTCGTTGCCCACTATTAATAAGCATCGACAACCATTGTTGATTATACCCTGAAAATTATGGTTACATGTCACCAACATCACCATTGCCTTTAGATCAACGACCATTGCCCATCGACCAATGCTGACATTCATCTCCATCTACCATCCACCCTTCAACACCACTGCCTACCAATATTCTCCACCATCATGGCATGAGACAACTTTTATAATTCAAGCATTGCAATCTCACCACTTTCAACTATGAAAAATGGTAGATATTTGTGATCTTAAATCTATATAGTGGCTCTATTTCAATTAGGCTAAACTCCATAATTTTTTTCCTAGATTTGCAACTTAAAAAATCATGCATTACCCATGTGAAATGGATTATTTATCTATTTACGTGGGGAAGCTTTGTGCAACGTTAAAATAATAAATTTTATCTAAACTGATGTGATTAAATTTTCTCTTAACTGATATGAATAATCTAGCATGTCAACAAAAATAATGCTGGGAATACCTATACTCAGTTTAATCACTACATTTTTTTATCATGTCACCACGACATTTCAAAAGTATGAAACCAAACAAAAGAAATCAACGAAAAATACCAGGTCAGAAGTAAAGTTTTGATATAAAATACAAACAAGCACACATGTCTCAAGAAATTAGAAGAAAATTATTAAGAGTGAAGATTCCTTACCCTATCCATACCAGCCGGGAGAGGATCCACGACAAAAGTAGGGATCTCATCAATCAAATTATCAGGATTCCCTGAATGCAGAACCCGCGTGAACCCTCCCATTTCTGATCCCTCCAAATCCTTCATCTTCTTGTACCAGTAGTACATTATTCTGCACTGCCACTTACTATAAGGCGCATCAGTCGCAGTAAGCGCCACATGAAATAGCCTCCTCGGCCCTCCCGACTTCTTAAACTCATTTGGCATCCCAACAATAGGATCAGATCGAAGAGCAAGGGTTGAGCGATCCGCCAATTGCGCCGGAAAATTCCAATTTCGATTGTGGATTACCATAGTAACGAGATTGTAGGTCGCAATGAAGAATCCAAATCCCAAGAGGACAACAAAAAATGGCGACCCCTTTCTCATCCCCATTCTATATATTACACCGAGGCTCCAAACCAAAATATTCTCAAAACCTACTAATTCCTAGCCGAATACATCACAGCATCATCATTTATGATTGATTATCTCAACAGAAGACCTGAGAGTCAATTTTGTTCCCAATCAATTCTAAAACAACAAATTACGAGTGAATCAACGTAACATAACTTAATA